CCGCAGCCAGCCCCTGCTGCACCCCCCTGCCCGCAGCCAGCCCCTGCTGCACCCCCTCCCCACAGCCAGCCCCTGCCTCCAGTGTCGCACCCCCTGCCTCCAGCTAGCCCTGCCCCACGCCCGTCTGCAGCCAGCCCCACGTCCACTGGTGCCCTGCAGTTCCCAGGGCAGTAACCCTGCACACCTGCTTCAATGAGAGGGGCAGGGAGCAGCTGGGACCCACACATGTGCACACCTTAGGGTGACCAGACAGCAAGTGTGAAAAATCGGGACAGGGGGTGGGGAGTAATAGGAGCCTATATAAGAAAAAGACCCAAAAATCGAGACTGTCCCTATAAAATCGGGACATCTGGTCACCCTAGCACACCCCCAGGGAGTGGCGGGGACCCACACATGTGAAACGGAGCTCATTTCTAGTTCAGGCCCATCTTTTTAAAAAATAAACTTTAGGTAGAGTTAACATACATCTGTATTTTCCTGGACATGTCAGGCTTTTTGGTTCTTAAATCGCCGTCCGGGAAAATACGGACGTATGGTAACCCTATTGGTACAAAAAATACATACTGTGGCACATCCCTTAAATCAGAACTTTTTATAGGGAACCGGTTGTTAAGATTTTAGCAGCTCATCACTGCCTGCGGCCCATGCCGCTTCCCGCAGCTCCTATTGGCCAGAAACGGCAAACCGTGGCCACTGGGAGCTGCAGGCGGCCATGCCTGCGGACAGTCAATGTAAACACTGTCTCGCGGCCTGCGAGTGGATTACCCTGACAGGCCGCATGCAGCCCGTGGGCCACAGGTTGCCCACCACTGGTCTATATGCACCACTTCTTCTCCCCCGACCCCGAACTTTGCAGGCTATATAATCAGACATAAAGTTCTATATGCTGATACAACTTTGAGCCCCACAGAATTTTTCTGAAATGACTTTGCTGCTCTGCTTGGTCACAAGGGGTCTGTACATGTGGAACTGTTGGCAGGATCGGGCCCCTGAACAGCTTCAGCTCTTTGTAGTTTATGCAATACCAATTAAAGATGTTTTCATTTTGTGCTCATGTTGCAACTCCAAACAGATTGGAATTTTTAAAGGGAACTCCCTGCTAGCCTAGTATAGATCTCAGTTTCACTATACTCTGCCCCTACCACGTGTTTGGGAAGGAGGGGGGAGCGGATGTTAAAATGAATACTACCATTAAGGGCTGTACCATAGTAGCTCTCACACCACCCGCAGGGCTGCTTGGGTTAACTATAAATACATTATACTACATGTCCATGTCGAATACCACTGCACTACTCCTCTCCCTCCCCCCTTCCTGCTGACTGACAGACACCTGCTGAACGCAACAGAGTGCGGGTGCGGGATAAAACACTGAATGGAGCCTCAGGAATAATATTAGCACCCACAGGATTCAAGCTCAGGGCAAACCCACCAGTTAAGTGGTTCTCAACCTTTCCAGACTACTGTACCCCTTTCAGAGTCTGATTTGTCTTGTGTACCCCCAAGTTTCAACTCACTTAAAAACTACTTGCTTACAAAATCAGACATAAAATTACAAAAGTGTCACAGCGCACTGAAAAACTGCGTACTGTCTTATTTTTACCATATAAGTATAAAATAATTCAATTGGAATATAAATATTGAACTTACACTGTAGTGTAAAGTGTATAGAGCAGTAAAAGCAAGTCATTGTCCGTATGAAATTGTAGTTTGTACTGACTTCGCTAGTGCTTTTTATGTAGCCTGTTGTAAAACTAGGCAAATCTCTAGCTGAGTTGATGGACCCCCCTGGAAGACCTCTCAGTACCCCCAGGGGTACCCGTATCCCTGGTTGAGAACCACTGCACCAGCTGGTTCCAGGGAAACGCCAGGGGCAGGAAGGAGTTAAGCTCTGCTGCCACCCAACTTGGTGGCTTCCCCTCTCAGGTTGAGCGCGCGACTCACTCATTTCCCCAAGCCCTGCAGTGGTGCTGGAACAATTTTTAGAGTGGGGGCGCTGAAGGCGGAAACTATGTATTCGGGTTGTTATTACTACTTCAAGCATGGGGGTGCAGCACTCTCTCCCCCCCCACCACCACCCATAAAGCGCTGCTCCCTACGCTGCCTAGAAAAAGTTTTTTTCCAGCAGAAGGGGGGACACAACGTGCCAATCTCTCCTCTCCGCTTGTCAACACGCGGATCCCGCCTGCCATGGCCTTGCCAAGGAGGCTGGGACTTGGAGGGCTCGGCGGCCCCTAGGCGTTCAGCAGCGAGCAGCAGTGAATGTGAAAGTGACATGCAGAAGAGCAGAGCTCTGCCCTCCCCCAGGACACCCCGCAGTGCTCGCGTGCCCCTTCCCCAGCACTGACACGGAGAGCCCGAAAGGGGTCACTTACCCAGCATGGGTGGCAGGGGGCTGCTTGGGACGAGCCTCTGCAGGAGGAATCCGGGAGCAGCCAGCTGCGGCAGTGGCGCCTGCGGGGTTTGAATGGCGTTTGCTGAGGCCCCTCCTTCACGGGCTCCCTCCCCTCCTCTGTCCCGTCCCCGATCGGCCTGGCACTGCCCGTCCCCGCCACATGCAAGCCAGGGAGGCGAGAGCAATAGCGAGCCGTGCCCTGCCCACTGATGCCCCGGCTGAGTGGCTGCGCTTCGCCGGCTGCTCCTCTGGATCTTCTCCAGTTGTGTTGCAAACATTCCTTCCGGCCCGCGTGTCCCGTCCCCCCCGCCCACTCCAGGGGACGCCGCTGCAGCCAGCACCCCCCTCCCTTGCCATGCTTGGAACCCGGGGAGCACGGAGCCGCGCAGACAGCGGCAGCCCGTTATGTAACCTCATCAGGGGGCTTATGCAACGGACAAGCTCTGTGCGGTGCACAGGCGTTGAGCGCTAGCCTCCAGAGCGAGGGAGCAGCTCTCAACAGTGTCACACTCACATCAGAAAGCCAGCTCCCGCTTTCAGAATTGCCTTGGCACTTTTGGGTGACGAGCTGCAAAATCCGTTTGCCTGGTAAGCATGGCTTCTCTGCCTCGTCCCTGCCCATCTCCTCCACCTCAATCCCGCAGCGTGTGTGTGATGATCCCCCAGCTCCTTTCCAACGCAACAGATTGCTATGTCATACACACGCAGGATTATGACTTCATCCTAGGATCAAGCAGAAGGAGAAGCTGAGTTAAGAGGGAGAAAGATTTTATTAAAGCTAGAGTCTCCTCTGCAATGGGCAGGGCATTACAGGGAGAAGTAAATGAGGTTTGTGTTAATCTACTGCCAACCATCATAAGGCCCTACACACAGCAGGTAGGTTGTTTGACTCTGAAGGGTCTTGCCTTTTAAACTCAGTTATTTTAATCCAGCATTGTGCACATCCAAGAGCTGTGTATTACTTTAAAAGCAGCATAAGTGTTGGAACGATGCACTTAACAGAGCAGGCTGGTTTCTCTTAATACCTTTTTCATACACCACTTTTGAGAAGTAAATGGTGACCTTACAAAACAGTTACAGATTCATCTAGGACTACACACACTGCTGTCACAAGGGTAATCAATTCCATCACAAAAATAAGAACAGCAGCTTCTATTTTAATATCCATGATTATTGTTTATATTATAGTAGCACCTCCTCTCTCAAACCAAGATTAAATATATATTTATATAAAAACAGAAGGACCAAAGTGTTTTGATTTTCCAGCACTAAGGTAGTCTTTGTTTATATAACCAAATAAAGGAGCCCAGGCAGCAACAAACATCCTACAGTTTGACCTGTAGCATCAGAGCATTTAGCTATAATCATTAAAAACCACATTGTACCAAGCAATTCCCATTCTGTCTCAAGGTAAAGCTTTTCTGTATCCTCATAACATAATTGAAACAAAAATCAAATGAATACATAGAACTTTGCATTACAATGATTAATAAGGTTTAAGTGACGGTGCATTCCTAAAAGAAACATTGAGGCAAATCTAAACAGATGAGGGGGTTTTGTTTGTTTTTTTTGTTTTAATGTTAGATCTAAACTTTCCATTGTTGGGACACATCCACTACAACATTTCTACAATCCATTAAAAAAGTATAGCCAAAGTGACTGCCTTGAGCCCTGAACTTGCGTTTAGGTGTGCTGGATTTAATAAAAAAGTATATATTGCATGTAGCTTATACACTATTATCTACATCTGTAACTAAATAAAACGTATTGGCTAGCAGGGATGTGTATCACTGGTTGCTGCTGCACAGAATCGGAATTGCTCAACTTCACATCACAGTCCCTGAAAGGTATTTAGACAACTAATCCTCATGGATTTCAATGGGAAATAGGCACCTAAATACCTCTGAGATTCTGGACCCATAAACCTCTGGACTGGTTCGCTGGCCCTTGGCAGTAAAGTTCCAGTGCACTGCTAAAGGCTCCCCCCTCCCCCACACTTCTGCCATTGTTTTGGAAACCTCCCTCCCCACCTAGGAGTGACAGGGTTAACTTACGAGCTAGTGTGTCAAGGGTCTGAAAGGAATATGGCAGCTTAGAGAGTGACCAGGCTTCCCAGGCCATCCTCTACAAAATAGTAGAGGTCAAAGTCCACATAGCACTTACAGAGGAGCTTCCACAGGGCTGGGTGAAGGGGGTACAACGGTGCAGACGTGACAGTGGCATAGCCAGGTTCTAAGAGCAGGGGGAGCAAACATAAAAAAGGCGCCCCCTGGCTCCTCCTCTGGCCACGCCGTCCCGTCCCCCCCTTGGCTGGCTCCTCCGGCCACACTGCAGCCATGCTGCGCCCCCTCCCTTGCTCCTCCGGCCGTGCCGCCCCCCCCCCATGGCTGTAGAGGGAGGCTGGCAGAGGACAGGGGGTTTGAGGGGAGGTGGAGGGGAGGGATGTAGAGGGAGGGAAGCAGGGGACAGGGGGTTTGAGGGGAGGTGAAGGGGAGGATGTGGAGGGAGGGGGACAGGGGGTTTGACTTGAGGGGAGGTGGAGGGGAGGATGTAGGGAGGGTGGCAAAGGACGGGGGTACAAGGGGAGGTGAAGGGGAGGGAAAGGCAGGGGCATGGGGTACATGGGAGGGGTACAAAGGGTATGGAGCTTGGGGAGGGGTTACCCGGGATGGGAGTGGGCTGGGGTCCCCGGGGCTCTCTGTGCAGAGGGGGCTGGAGCTGCCCCCGGGACCGGGAGAGCCTGAGAGTCTGCTGCCTGCCCTTCCGCTGCTTCTTTCCGGGGCCCGGCCGCTAGGCCCGGCCCAGCCAGCAGCAGAGAACAAACCCCACTGTTACTGCCTCAGAGGGGCTCGCCGCGTGCAGTGCCAGCCCAGGCTCAGCGCTGGCGCTACCCCTTGGGGGGTGGGGGCAGAAGGCAGCGAGCCCCGCCAGGCGCGGTCCGAGCGAGCTGCAGCCCGGCTCGCCCGCTCAGCCCGGGGGCACTGCCCTGCCCGGGGCTGCTGGCGGAGCCTGGCTGTGGACGGGTCGCGCTGACAGGCCGCGGCGGGAGGGGGAGAAGCCCCCCCCATGGCTGCAGGCCACCAGCCTGCGCCCCCCCTCGCTCCTCCGGCCGCAGCTGCCGGCCGCGCTTCGGGCTGCATGCCACACCCCACACCCCCGCTCCCTCGGCCGGAGCCCTGGGAGGAATGGAGCGAAACCCCTGGACCCGCTCTCCCGGCCGCAGCGCCGGACCCCGCTCCCCGCCCCCGTTGCAGCGCTGGCCAGAGCACCGCGAGACCCCCAGACCCGCTCCCCCACCCAGAACCCCGGGTGGAGCGCAGCGAAACCCCCGGACCCACTCTCCCGGCTGGAGCGCCGAATCCCGCTCCCCCGGCCAGAGCCCCGGGCGAAGCGCAGAGAAACCCCTGAATCCGCTCCCCCGGCCGGGGCGCCGGGCGGAGCACGGCCAATCACCCTGCCCCGCTCTCCCGGCCGGAGTGTCAGACCCCGCTCCCTCGGTTGCAGCGCCTGCCGCAGTGCGGCCAGACCCCCAGACCCACTCCCCCGGCCAGAGACCCGGGCAGAGCGCAGAGAAACCCCTGGATCCGCTCCCCCGGCCGGAGACCCGGAAGGAGCGCAGCGAGCCCCCCAGACCTGCTCCCCCGGCCGGAGCCCCAGGCGGAGCGCGACCAGACCCCCGGACCCACTCCCCGGCCAAAGCTCCGGGCGGAGTGCAGCGAAACCAGCCTGTGCCCCCCCTCGCTCCTCCAGCCGCTTTTGGAAAGGCGCGGCTTTGGGGAAAATGTGCTGAGGGGAAGTGGCTGCTTCCCCTGCACCCCGCTAGCTACGCTACTGGTGACAGTGTCTGTTCTATATCCATGGAGCCATCTGATTTTCTTCCCCTTAGCCTGTGGAAATGGATATAACCCTGAAGCATTATGCACCCCGTGTGTGTGTGTGTCAAGATTGAGTAATCATATTTTATTGTGTATCTACACTAGAAACATTGATTCAGTCACCATTACGAGCAAAGGGGCCACTGATTCATTTGCTAAAAGTCCTGCAGATAAGAAATGAGGTTACACTCTCTGGTCTGTTAAGGCAGAAAAAGATGGTCTAATGCATTCAGAAAGATTTCCTTTTCCATTTGAACCGCCCCAAATGGTCAGTGTTCAGAGACACACTTTGAAGGTTGTGTTGTCTTTACCATTAAATCAAAAAGTTGATTGCATTGAACTTCTCTTCTAACATTTCCCAGTGTTGATACCAGATTTTATATTATTAACCAAGTTACGCATCTGATTGGCTCTTGCCATTGATGACAGTTTGTGATATGCTTAGGTATAAAAGTCATTATCATTGTACAGACAACCAACATGATTAAACAAATGAGTACTCATGCTTATAAAACCAGTCTGCTATGCAAACAATGGAAGGCTGACCTCAGCAGGCTATCACTTCACACCTAAAAAAGTAGGGAGGGATTAAATGATTAAGGATGAAGTACAGGGGTGGAGAGCCTGTCAAAAGAACTGAACAGCAGCTCTCTCTTTTTAAATATATGTTTTTTTCCCTCCAAGATAAAAGTCTTCTCTCACTGACAGACATTTGTGGTTTGATTTAGTGTGCAGCAGTTTCATACATTTCCTGTAACAGGCAGAATGCCTAAGAGACTGGGTGGAAAGCACAAAACAGTTGCTGGCAAGCAATAGTAACATTTACATTGGCACGATTTGATCTTTTGGCGGAACCTGTGCAGCATCTTTACAACAATGCGGAGGCATTTATAGCACCACAAGGTAACTGGGCTCTTCTATTTTTAGTGCAATACACCCATTTGCACATTCTTGTGGTTGATGACAAGCAGACATTATAGAGAATCTATGAAATTCTGATGTTTCCCTTTTATGTTCTTTGTGGCAGGGATGTACCCAAACCAGAGAGAACTGCAATCCTTACATTCCTGAAAACTATTATTCAAATGTTATTGAGTCACTTGGCAGACCTGAAAAAGTGAGGTAAGATGTGAGAAGCAGGGCATTTGTGTGGTGTACC